GGACCCGCATCCACACCCCACCTGCTAGAGACTGGATCCGGAATCCTCGTACGTGGAGACACATTGTTGCTGTTGGGAGCTGACGGGTCAGAGACTTCATTAGTTGAAATGGAAGGAGCTGACACAACACTAGAAAGCACAGAAGAAGTGGACTGTGAAGACGTTGAAACTGTTGGAGGATTAGAGTCCACTGGGGTGGGTATGCTACTGGTGACTGAAGGTTGAGTGACAGCTGAAGGATCCTGTAATAACGGCTGTTTCCATTGTGTTAATCGAGATTGCGGGACGGGAGAAGGTTGTTTGGTTTGTTCTTCCGTTGTTGCTGGTGGAACGTTAGAAGGTTCATTTGGCTGAGATTGAACAGTGTCTGTTATCTTATTCTGTGCAGGCTCACTCGTTGGCTTCTCATTCGTTGCAGGTTTATTACCTTTTTGTTGTGCAGTAGGAGACGACTGCTGCTGTTGTTGTTGTTGCTGGATGAGTGATTGCTGCTGTTGTTGCTGCACTGCAGTAAACGGCAGAGCAGGATGTCTCCCTGCCAGGCCCGGCTGCTGCTGTAGAACTTGTTGCTGCATCTGAGCGATCATGAGCGCAATCTGCTGTTGCTGTTGATACAGCTGCTGTTGAGGAACTACTTGTTGTTTCTGTCCCATGTGTTGCTGGGCAACAGATTGTGCAGCCAGACGCTGCTGAACGAGCTGAAGCTGAGCGATCTGCTGTAACATGGCGAACTGTTGAGGAGTGAAGGGAGGTTGAAGGAGTCCTCCTTGAGCCATCCGTAGCTGCTGAAGATGAAACTGCTGAACAAGCTGAGGGTGAAGTAAAGGATGTGCCAGAGGAGGTCTCAAGGGTGCCTGTACCCCAGGGCCTGGCGCAGGAGGTATTAATGGTGGGCCTGCTCTTTTACCATTTCCTGACAACTGAGCTTGTCCATTAGAGGGCTTCGAGGGCCCAGCTACCGACAAAGGTGGTTTATCACTTTTTGCTGCTGGTGCACTTGGTTTTGAGTTAGAGTCCTGTTGTGTTTCATCCGTCTTAGATGCATATTGAGTTTCTGAAGTGTTATTCTGTTGCTCACTATCTGGTTTAGAAGGAGTATCGCTGGTTTGAGTCATTGACTTAGAGACTACGAGTTCAGTTTGTCCTTGTTTCGGATCCGTTTTTGACGCAAGAGTGTTTTGTTCAGCTTGTTGTTGTTGCTGCTGTTGTTGAAGTTTCCTTCGCTGTTTCCTGTTCAGTTTACTCTGACTTTGTTGCTGTTGTTGTTGGATCCTCGCTGCCTCTGCTGGGTCAGGTTCCTGTAGTTTTCCCCCTGGAACAGGTACAGTCTGTTCCATGCTTTCACTGATGTTCATAGCAAGGAGGTCCCCTGAAAACACATCAACAGTTGCGAGGTTAGAACTCAAATTCTCCTCACTCCGTGCGGTTCACATTCCTGATTTTCGTAGGAGAATTTGTTTGTCTAATCAGTAAGTTTTACCTGACATGACTAGGCTCGAGGCAGATTACACTGCACGGGTTGCAGAGTTTTACTTCGACTTTTGACTACCTGCTCTATTGCACGGAACTCGAAGAGTTACCGAACTTACCTATTGCACTTTCGATGTTCATATGATTTGCCTTGAGAGCTTTCTCCGCGTCGTCTTGCTGTACACAACGAGAAAACACACGGCATTCAGTATTTCCAAATATATTAAGAAAAGACGGGTGGAGCCTTCCTCTTCATTTAGTTAAGACTCGGAGCAAGCTTATTTCCACTCTGCCGTAAACGATGGCAAAGACGGTATTGTAATTATGACAAACCATTTAACCTATTAAGCGCCTACTCTAATAATTCTCATCCATTACGCAAACTCTTAAGAACTCTTCACAATAAATAAGGCCCCTGCAGTAACCTGCTTGATGCCTGAAGCAAATTACTATAGAAGAGAAATATTGGTAACATTGCACCTTGATCAGCAAAACATTTCACGTAATAAACATAATATCTTTAACTTATGGATTCTCTTATCCTCAAGCCCAAGTCAAGACGACCTTTAAGATTGTATTTCCTTTTCCAAACGAGTTCAACAAGCAGGATGAGACACGTGCGCTCAACTTCAACTCTATGTCAAATAGTTGAAAAAGTATTAGCCAAGACAGCAGTCGTCATTAAGTAGATATGTTTCCTCACCTTAAAGCCCATGTCTAGCAGTTGTTTAAGAGATCTGTTCATCCAAGCATTTGAATCATTAGCAGGTTTAGGAGCCTAAAACACACCCAAACCATTAATAACAGTGACCCATCAGTAACACAACAGTAGCGCATTACTTTAATTAATAATTTACATTATTAAATGGCTGTTTCTCACAAGGACTGGAAACTACCGAATTCACGAATTTGATTGGCTGAAATCAACATTGAAAACGGCCTAGATTTTCCCATCTAGACCGGTAATGCTTTGCGGTGAAAAAGATGCAAATTAAAATGCAAAAATATTGACTATTTTCTTAAAAGTATTTATTTATGGAAGCGCCAAAAAGCCTGATAGGAAAAGAAAAGTAAAGAGGTTGAGCAGACTTAAGCAGAATTAAGTTCAGCTCATCGCCGTTCGCAAGCAAAATGTCAGCTGGTACAAGCCAGTTACATTAAACGAATTAAATTTATCTTGTTTGCCATATAATAAACATCTTATTAACCGAGCTTAGTCGAATGGGAGAATCTTGCGTTCGGTCTGTACTCACGACCTCGGACAAGATTCTCCCATACAGACCTCCTGCTCGGTTAATAAAGGCTAAGAAATCATATTTAACCTTGAGACCAGAATAAATATTCATCTTATGAGATTGGTCTGCTCCTAAGAGCTACAAAAATGATGTCAGTGTCCTTTTCTTTTTCTGAGCGTGTGGCTGGGACCAGAACTGAGTGTCTGATTCAAAAAGAAACTGTTACCTGGATCCAAGAAGAATGTCAAACAGTATAAAGGTTGTACGCTGATACCGTATGGCACGAAACTTTGGCGTGAGTTAAATTTTGCGGATTGCCGATTTTTTGCATTTTGTGGCAACCAATTTTTGCGATTGTGAAAGACTGGTTTTTCTTGCTGGGTATTAAATTTTACGTTTATCAGGGAGTCGCGTTTAATTGGAATTACAACTTTTTTGTTTTCTTTTATTTAACTACACGCAACTGACAAGTCAGTGAAAAACATGCGGAGATGTAAGCCGCGGCACTCGGTATCGCGCTATTACAATTACGTCTTGCCCTAGTTTGGATTGATTGCTCCGGCAATGGCTCAGCAAAAACTACGGCATCACTTAATGTATTTCTCTCCTGTTTTGAGAGACGTTGTAAATAAATGGCACCAAGATTCCACATGCGATGTTTGTACGCATAATTTCGCCAATGAAGTAAATTTTTGCGGAGAACGTTTTTGCGAGATTTTTTTTCGCAGAAACTTATTTTTGCGGATCGCAAAAAAAAAAACCGCAAAAATAGGCCATCCAGTTACCTTGTGTCTGTCTCAAAGCTAGTCTTTGTGCAAAACCTCCCATATGAAAAGGAGTTTGATTTGCATGAAAATGACAATGCAGGTGAAGGTAAAGGTAAAGGTAAAGTCTGCATACGAGCCAAGTGGCTCATCAGGCCGGAGCCTATCCCGGTTTCAGTAGCATGAAGCGACTAGGGGTATTTCTACTCTCCCTGGATGGGATGCTGGTCATCGCAGAATTACCCCCAGCATCAAGTTCACCGGTACCCATTTAAACACATGCGTGGAGAGAGGCACTGTGAGAGTAAAGGGTCTTGCCCTAGAACACAACAGAATGTCCCCGATCCCGGTAGGGCTCTTGGAATCCCAATAAAAAAACCTACGCATTAACCTTGAATCTCGAACAAAAATACTGACTTCAGTATTATAAAGAGTCCACAGATTTCTTTAATACACAAAAGCAGTGATAGTTATGAAGATCTGTATTTTGTACAAAGCTCCCTCCATTGAAAATTAATAATCGGGCAATCAATACACGTTTCATTTATATTTGATTTAATCTCTCTGTGTAACGTTCCTTATCGATATTCTCCCCATAACAGCTAAGTATTTACATGAACACGCATCCATACCCGACTTTTACAATGACTTCGTTTTGGCAAATTAAACCTAACAAGTTGTTACAGTTGGGCCTGCAGTCGCGCCCATCTGTACAAGCCGAGCGCGTCATTTCCGTTTCATTTCACGAGTGGAATAGAGCAAGGGCCTTAACATAGTTTTCTTGAGAATTCTGAGCGTTGAGAAAGGGAAAGAATAACGTTTATTCTTCCCTCAAACGAGTGAGAAATCTATACATGCATTTAGTTCTGGGAACGAGAATACCGAACGTATCAGTAGAAGTTCTATATCTTTTCAAGATTTCGAAGAGCGCATGAAAGCTCGGGGCACGAGAAGCAGAGGAGAGAAAAAACAACGACAACAACAAAACAAAGAGAGATGGAGAGTCTTGCGTCCCACGTTGTTACATGCTTTTCGTGCTATTGAAGAAGGAAAGGACTGGTGTTCAGGTAAAGTATCTATTTTCTAGTTCAGTACTGTTCAGTACTGATCGGCAAACAAGCTATTGTCTAGTCCTTTATCCTCATTATGCCCCTTTGTGTCTAGGGAAGAATGCTTGCTCGATATTTCTGTTCATTCTGTTGTTTCACGTGAATTTTCATTTCTTTTCTTCGTTCCGCGGTGTTTTTAATCTTATCTATTCTCGCCTGACGTTCCATTTCTCGTTGTTTCAACTGATCTTCCCTATCTAGTCCCATTCTTCTCTCGGTTACCAAGCGATCGTGGTGAGCTTCCACTCTCCTTTGCTCGCGATCCTTCAGTCCACTCTGCAGAAGAAAATGAGAACAGAGTTAAAATGACAGTAGGGAGCGCGTGCATCGAAAGCAGGAGAACGAGATAAAGTTTACTAAAGAGAACGAAGAGAGAGAGCGAAGGTGTAGAGAGGAACTGACAGAGGACAATTACGCATTAGACTAACAATACTGTGCTACTCACCTAATTGAGAATTTGGAGACCGCAGTTCGCCACTTTAGAAACGCGTAGAAATCTCGGGTGTCTCATCTCGTAGTCGCTTGTGGGATCGCTACTGGGATCGCTACTGGGCACAACACAGCTTCCCGTGTTTTGTTTTGTCCCTGTAACGGTCCCACAAGCCACCTCGAGATGAGACTTTCATAGGTTTCTTCTCGTTTCTAAAGTGGCGAATATTGACGTATCACTCGCAGTGTCAGCAGGTGAATTAACGGTTACCCGTACGGGGTTTTCAATCTGAAAGCGTTAGTATTGATGGAATTACGGCAAAGTTTGCCGATTGGAGTTATCTTCTAGGGAAACTACAATGCTTTCCCGGTGTAAAATGACTACAATTTCGGTAAATTTGCGTTCAGGAAATGCGGCAAGGAACCTTTGGCTGGCAAGACAGAAAGAAACCCCAGGGAAATCTGTTTACTCGTTGCGTCCGCCCTAGGAATCTCCATCTCCTTTCCCGGAAGGGTTTAGTGAACACGTACCAGTCTTTGCGACTCCTGTTCTTGTGCGGCTCTTTCATAACTGTTCTCCATTTCCTCGTGTTGTGTTCTTCGTTCTCTCATGGCTTCGATCCGCGAGTGTTTCCACGTCTCGGCCTTTTCTTGTCTCTCTCGTTCCTTTTGGCAAATCTTTTCACTTGATTGCTTTTTGCTATCCATTCTGTCGCTTTCTTGTCGGGCTTTTTCTGCGGACTTCTCGGAAATTTGACGAGTTCGTTCGTCAACCATTTTTCTGCAAAAAAGTGAATCGTCACTTGTCGCATCTTTTGTTACTGTTTGACAAATTCCGAAATTAATACTGAAAACGTTCTGTGGCATTATTGAGGTGCATATACAAGTGTCGTTTACCTGTGCATCCCAAAGTGACACAAAGGTACCAGAAAGACGTTTCAAAGGAAACATGCGAAAAAAGTAAAATTAAACCATAGTCTACAAATAGCTTATTTGAATGTAAGCCCTTTGGGTTTCATCTTAAAAGAAAAAAACAAAAAACAAAAAAAAACACAAAGCTTTGCTCTGACGAAGACCTAACGCTCGTAACGTCAACTTCGCAAACTTGCTACGGTGGTGAATTTAAATTTATCGACGTCACGTTGAAGAAAAGCTACATGTAAGTGTTAAACTGTACGAAACTGGTTCTGCTTAGGCACC